TTCCTCCGCCCTCCCACTGTTTGGTTCCCTTGTGTTGGTTTGGCAACGATTAGGAAATGTGGCCACATTTTTTGTTCCTAATCAGTTGGAAGGTAGCTACTAGAATTCAAAGCAAGATCAGGCGCCCCAAAGAGGGGTGAAGAGGTAGCAGTACCAGAAGTGGCCCAAAGCAACGGATACTATCTACATCATCAAGTCACTCTTTTGTTCTCTTGTCAAATGGGACCCTGGACCTGCTTTCGAGCAGGTGCGGCTCCCCACAAATATATCGGAGCAACTGGATGAAATACTAGGAGAGGATGCTCTTACCACCTCTCCTAGTACTTTCGGTCCGGTTATTTTGTAAAAAAAAAAAAAAAAAAAGAAGCAATATTGAATCATCTTTGGAAAGTTGTGCCCCAACAGTAATCAACTATCACAATATGTCATGCCCGTTTCAATGGTAATGAATTAACAAACTATCACTGCCTTATTGTCTGAATCAGGCAATGTGGCCCACCCTTCAGACAATTTTAACATTCAGAATTCCCTAGATGTGTCCGACTCCAACTACTACCAGAAATCACTTGACGGGGTCCTAGTGTGACTATCCGATAGGTAATGTCCTTACCTTAGCCCACCACTGCATCCACGCTTGTCTTGTCAAACCTGCAGGCTCAATAGTAGATCATGGGCTCAGGAGTGGGATCATCAACAAGAACAACAACAACAAAAACAACGACGACGACGATGACAACAACAACAACAACAACAACAACAACAAAAACAAAAACAACAACAACAACAATAACAACAACAACAACAACAACAACAACACTGATGACAACAAAATGAAGGAGAAGAAGAAAAAGAAGAAGAAGAAGAAGAAGAAAACCAAGAACAAGAATAACAAGTAGACGAGGGAGGAGGAAGAATAGAGTACAGTAGAGTAGAGAATAGCAAGGCCAACTGCTAGTCGTCCAAGCATCAAGCCATAATCATCAGAAAGTGAGCTTGGACATAACAGAAGCTGAAGATGAAGAAGAATAGTGAAAACAAAGGGCCTACTGCCTTCGTATACGCTTCAAAGTTCTTTAATACACAGCCATGCATCCTAGTCTTAGCTTACAGGCACATTCCCCGATGCGCATTTCAATTGGCTGAGCTCCATCATCCACAGGGGGCTCCTTGCACAACCATGCCTTCCAACAGTGAAGGAGCCCTCAGTCCGTAGACGAGTGTTGCAATTTGGAACGATGGCACACCGAAATACAGAAATGGTTCAAATTTAGGCAATCCTTTGTACAGTGTTGTCGATTGCGCCACTGCAAGATGCGAACAGGCGATAGCTCAGCTGCAAGATAGCACGTTCGATCTGAAGATGAAATGCCACAAAATGCAGGCAAGGCAGATTCCACACTGCCGATCAGCAGAGCGGTGACATGCCTATCAACTTAAAAGCTAAAGCGGAATTTTTGGGATAATATACACCTGCAACCATCAATCCTCAGGCTGATGGTTCTCTCACCACCGTCGGGGTAAATGAGATACATAACTATGTTTTGGGGGAAAAAAAGAGAGAAAAGATATACAGAACAGAAATACACGATAAGGCACGACAGATTTCAAACTGCCAATCCGTCGAGCCGTAATAACACACCTCGCAAGTGTCAGGAACTGAGATATACAGAACATAAATACAGGGTAACTAAGCAGTCTATCCTAATGAGATGCTGCCCCCCATTGCCAGGAGGTGATGCCTCCCCCCCCCCAAGTGGATGTGGAGCCTCAACAACAAGAGAGGGCAGACCTTGCATTTGGAGGCGGGTGTTAGGATGCCCCTTACCTGAGTTGGAAAAAAAAAGGAAAATGGTGACGATGGAGATACGCAATGGTTGTCCAGCTAACGCGATAGGCCCCTTCCCCCCTGACACAGGGAGGTCGTAACAATAATAAACTCCCCTTCCCACCCCAACCCCCCCCCGGCTTCCCCCTCTCCCCTTTTCCCAGAAAAGAAAAACATAGTAAATTACAATAGCGGGCTATATCGCATCTGGAAATCGGAATGAGAACAGTTGATTTGACAAAACAAAGGGCCTCACTCAACTACACAACACCCTACATGGATCTGGACAAGCTCAAACATTTGTAATGAATCCGACCACTTTTAGGCCTGGATACATTTATCGGCTTGTGCAGTGGAGAGACCATGAGCAAATACAATGCCCCGATGCATCCGACAGACTTCATCCTAGAAAGAAAGAGGGAAACGATCACAATAGGGCAGACAGGTGGTCCTCAGGACCCTCTTTCCACTGCTGGCCAACTGTGCAAAACAATGGTAACCATAGGGCTGTGCTCCACAGTACTAGCTCCACAGTCCTAGTTTGAGGATTCTTTTAACTTAGGCAGAACTCCACGTCAAAAAACTTACTTCTCTGTCGAAAATTTTACTTCTCCGTCGAACAGTGCACAGGCCGTTACTGTCAGAACAGTCGCGGATTCGTGGCTAAACAGTACTTGCTCCACAGTCCTAGTTTGAGGATTCTTTTAACTTAGGCAGAACTCCACATCCAAAAACTTACTTCTCTGTCGAACAGTGCACAGGCCGTTACCGTCAAAACAGCCACGGATTCGTGGCTGATTGCACTGCAGGACGGATTTGTGGCTGAGCGCACTACAGGACGCACTCGTGGCTGAGGGCACTGCAGGGTGAATGAAAACGTGGGCCCCTCTTCTCATGTCCCAAGTAAACTCCTTAAAGAGGGTTCAGTGCACCGGATTTCTGGTCCTGTACTGGAGGATGATAGTCCTAACTGGGAGCCACCAAGGGAGGATCGTGGGAGTAGGGGTGCGCCTGTAAGAAATAAGGAGAGTGGAAGGTGGGGAGGGTGCCTCATAGGAATAGGGACCTCTACGGGAACATCTGGATGACTATATGGCTAATGGGTGAAGGAGACTGTCAAGTGTCCTACAAGAACCTGGGCTTTCCAAAAAAAAAAAAAAAAAAAAAAAAAAAAAAAAAAAAAAAAAAGGAAGTCCACTATTTACCAGTTGTACCGGGGTGCTACTTTCGTAATTTATCGGAAAATGCAGCCTGTGGAACCCCGTGTAAATTTAGGAACGATTTAAAAAAAAAAAAGTTTACAAAAAATTAGGAACGAAAGGGCATACTTAAAAAAAAACCTCCAATTAGGACTGTGGAGCTTCGCTCCACATGCGCAAAACACCCAAAAATATGGGGGTGTAACTTCCCATGTTCTACAGAAGATTCATTCTCATTTCGCAGATTTGGTGAGTGGTGGAGCGCGGCCAACATTGTCTTCGATGGAACGCGGCGAGGTAAATTGGCGTTCGGTCCACACACTATATTCGTACTCACCGAATGTCCAAAATGAGAATGAATCTTCCGCTACAGCAGGGGAAGATGCACCGCCATTAATTTGGTCTTTTGTGCATATGGCGAGTAGTGGAGCACACGCTCATTCACGACTCTTTTTTCCCTTCTAAGACGGGGGCAAGGTCCCACTTGCGCGAATTAGGAGATTTCGGCCGTTGATCTTTGCTATCTACGGTCAGTATCTCTTAATTCGTGCAAGTGGGACCTAGCCCCTGGTCACACAAAGACATGACAGGGACCAGTAATCCAAATGCGAACAAGGTCCCACTTGCACGGATTAAGAGATTCTGGCCGTCGATCTTTGCTATCTACGGTCAATATCGCTTAATTCGTGTAAGTGGGACCTAGCTCCGGGGCGGGATAGGCTCTAACATTGGGCCTCGCTGCACCACTCTCGACACCCACAAAAGACAAAAACCATGGCCGTGTATCTTTCCATATTCTACCGGAAGATTCACTCTCGTTTTGCACATTTCGAGAGTAGTGCAGCGAGACCCATTAATTATCGCATCACCCTGACTGATTCCCTTACCGGATTCGACCTCATGGTCTGTGCGTGTGGGGCTACACTGATACTGATACAGTCACCTCACACTATCTTTTTTTTTAAATTCAAAAGCTATATTCTTCTCTCAATTTCACCTCAGACTACCTATCTACCACTACTCCTAATCGTTCACATTTTGTGAGTGGCCGATGGGGAAAAAAAACCGAAGTCCTGAATGGGGGCCCACCTACCAGTCTGATCTATCCCGGGGCAAGGTCCCACTTGCACGGATTAAGAGATTGTGGTCGTTAATCTCTGCCATCTATGGTCAATATCGCTTGATTCGTGTAAGTGTGGGACCTAGCCCCCGGGCCGAGGTCCCACTAGCAAAAAGGATAGGATCGAGCTCCTGAATCTGGATGTGTTTTATGCGGAGATGCATAAAAGCAGTTCAGTCTCGATTTCCAGCACTTTTCCATAACCTCGTCCAGATTCAGGCATTCGATCCGATCCTCTTTGCTACTAGTGGGACCACCCCCCCGGGCTCGAGATTACCGTGCTTCTGCTTCGTCCAGCTGGCGACACGAATCGACCGAAGCTTCGCCGAGAGTTCCTACAACAGTAATTACACACGTACGTCAGTCCGTACAACGAACGAACGAAGTCACAAACGTGCGCATGCTGACGATGATTGAAAAAGAGGATGACGTTTTTTGTTGGAAAGAAAAAAAAAGAGGATGACGTTTGCGCAAACGTCAAAAGAAATAAAAAAAAAAAAGAAAGGAAAAAAAAAGAAAAAAAAAGAAAAAGAAAATCGCTGTGGGGAAACGACTGACGTGTGAGGAGGGAGGAGAACGCGAAACAGGTAACGTTGGTCGGTGTACACTATGGGCGTCGCCGCACGGGACACGAAACGAAAAACGAAACGAGTGCATCTTCAAGCAAAAAATGGCCAGGTTCATCCGTTTGCTATAAATAGTAACGAGTGTATTTTGCCACCATTCGTGGGCAGATGCACTCGTTTCGTTTTCGTTTCGTGTGCCATGCGGCGAGATCCTATACCGTAGGGGGCCTAGTCACACCACTCTCCAAATGTGAAAAAATAACAAAAATGTGGCGGGTGCATCTGGCCATGTTCTAGCGCGAAGTTCATTCTCATTTTGCACATTTCGAGAGTGGTGTGGCGATGTGCCCTACATGTAGACCTACCCAAGCAAGGCTTGCTGCAAAAGCTTCTTCCGTTTGTCGTATTCACAGACATCGAACAGTTGGCCTCTGTTCCGCTCCCACCAATCTTCCTCTGCGTCTAGAAGGTCGCTAGCCCTCTTCCTCTCCTCTTCAGTGGGAATCATACTTAGCCGCCATTTCTCTCGGCGAGTGAACTCCTTCAACTGATGTCTGGCTGTCAGTTTGGCCACGTCAGCCTGATCCTGCTCTGCCATCTTCGACGCCACCCTCACCAGAGCCTTGGCCTCGCCGTCCTCGAATCGACCCCAACTCCTACCGAGCGATTTCGACACCCGTCGTTTGGAGATTTTGTCGGTAATTGTTGCCGTCAACATTCCATCCTCGTCGATCTCGAGGGCGCACTGCAGAGGCACCCTCTCCATCCCGCTGCCTGCCGGACCCGGGCGCAACCCCTCTATAACTACCTCCCCTACGAAATGGTTTTCGTCACACCTCTCTCTCTCCCCCTCATACACCTGCATGGCAAACGACTCCTGACCGTCGTAACCCGCCACCCAATCCTGGATGACCCTCTTTGGATAAGGCGTGTTCCGATCAATCAATCTAATTAGTTTCCCTTCGACGCAGCCGACGCCGATGGTGATGGGAACCGCCTCAACAACAGCGACATCTACGACGTCCATATCTGCCTCGCCCGTGAGCAAGGCGGCCTGCACCGCCGCCCCGCTTGCTACGCATTCCTCCGGATGAATGGCTCTGCATAACCGCCCCTCACTAAAGTACTCCGCTAGCATCTGCTGAATCTTGGGCACTCTCATTGATCCTCCCGCCAAAATCACCTTCGCTACCTCCGACCTATCGAGGCTAGCATCCTCGAGAGAGCGGGAAACGAGACCCAAACACTTGTGGAAGATGGGTTCGCACAGCTCTTCCAGCTTTTCCCGCGTCAATTCCAACTTGAAATCCTCTCCCCTGCACAGCGCATCGACGACAATCACGTTCTTCATGCTGAAACTTAGCGCGTGCTTCATCTGCTCACAGTAGCTCCTTAACCTCCTCATCGTCCTCGGGTCGTCGTAGATTTCCACACCATGGACGGCATTGATTTGATCCGCAAAGTACATCATCATCGCGTCGTCAATATCCTGACCGCCAAGACATGTGTCGCCGGCGACGCCCACCACCGTGAACTCCCGGTTGTCTACCCTCATAATAGACACATCAAGAGTGCCCCCACCCCAATCGATGATCATAACCAGCTTCGCCTGATCGGCAATCTTCAGGATGTTCGTATCCTCTGATATCCGATCACCCACCGATCTTCTCCCTCCTCTCCCTCTCCCTCTCCCTCTCTCTCTTGCTCCATAGCCACAGCCGCCAGCTAAGGCGTTGCTGCGCATCGCGTAAGCGAGGGCAGCTGCCGAAGGTTCGGTGATTAATCGGATTACATTCAGTCCTGCAAGACGAGCAGCCGCCCTCGTAGCCGCCTTCTGTGATTGCGTGAAATTGGCGGGAACAGAGATGACCGCGTTCTTGACATCGCAGTCAAGATAAGCTTCAGATATCACCTTCAACTCCTCGAGAATCTTCGCCGAAATCTCCTCAGGGAAGTAGGTTTCCCGCCCATTCTTAGTCTCCACCTCGATCATGAATCCCCCGCCGTCGGATTCGCAAACAAGCTTGTAGGGCCAAAGCCGCAGAGCATGATTGGTCGTCACGTCCCGATACCGACGCCCGATCCATCTCTTCACCTGAAAGAGGGTGTTGGCGGCATTACACGTGGCCTGATCCTTGGCAGCGTCGCCGACCAAGGTAGTGCCGTCTTCTGCGAAAGCTACGCAAGATGGAGTAATTGAATGACCTTGACTATTGGGTATTATCTCTACGCGGCCCTGGCTCCAGACGGCGACGCAGCTGTTTGTCGTGCCCAGGTCGATTCCAATGGCAGGCCAGGCAGCCTTCACGGTGCGCGGAGCTGCAGGGCAACCCGAGAAGGACGTTGACGACGGGACTGAGCAGGAGCTCTCCGCCTTCCGGGCGGAGGACAGCGGCGCGATCGACGGGGAGCTGCCGCGGCGGAACCATCTGCTCACCATACGACTTGATCGATTCTCCCCGCAGCCGAACCAGTTCATCATAAACATCCTCCAATGTCCCAATCCGGGCGCTTGATCTAAACTCTCACTTCGCGGAGTCGAATAGAAATTGAGCAAACATAACTTTCTCTCTCTCTCTCTCTCTCTCTCTCTCTCTCTCTCTCTCTCTCTCTCTCTCTCTCTCTCTC